AGACGTTATAACTTTGATGAGCCTATGACACAGGCGGAGAAGAGACCGTACGTCTTGTGATTGTAAACAAAGCAAGTTTTCTTTAAAAAATTTTCTTCAAAGTTACATATTTCGATTGACAATATTGATTACTACTGAATTACAAGAGAAGAAAAACGCGGCTCCAAAATTCAAAATGCCGCAGTCATAGAGTGCGAGTGACAATAAAGACAAAACAGAGACGAATATACTATGTAAAGGTAGCAAGTCCTGAGTGTCGAAAACCTAAATATGGAGAGTCTCAATGATAACACCACCACACAAAAAAAGTAATAAAGCCGCCGCCGTTTATCCTGCCGGGTATAATAAATATTAACGAGCTAAAATCGGCAATTAATACGAAAGCAGCGAATGGTTACGTGCTGAAGATGGTTGGTAGAGACAATCAAAATCCTCCCGAAGACCTCCGGCCATCAATAAGATGCTAGAGAGTCAGGGCACGGCCTTCCACACGTACCAATCAAAGGGTGGTTATCAAAAATATCCACCCGTCTGTGGACGTGAAATCCCTAAAAAAAGGTATTCAACAATAAGGTCATGAGGTAAAGAACATCATGAATATAAAGAGCCGTCACACCAACGGACCGTTGCCGCTGTTCTTTGTGGAGATAGCCCCACGTACGAACAACAAGGACATACATAAATTCATTTATCTACAACAAAGTATGAAGGTGGTGATAGAGACGCCGCACCGCAGATACGACAATCCACAGTGTGCGAGATGCCAGAGGTACGGACACACCAAGGGCTACTGCACTCTGAAGCCGCGCTGCGTGAAGTACGGCCAGAACGACCTCACCGCGGAGTGTAGGAAGGAGAAGTCAAGTGAAGTAACATGTGTACTGTGCAGCGGCAAACACCCTGCCAACTACAAGGGCTGTACAGTGTAAAAGTAAATGCAGAGTAAAAAAATCCCGAGATTGAGGAGAAAAAATTACCACCGACCAGGATAAAACCAGGCTTTTCCTACGCTGATGCGGCCAGAGACAGAGCAAACAACAAAAACACGCAGCCCACAAGCGAAGAGCAAGTAAGACCACAACTAGACACTGTAGCACGGCTGGAGCTAACGATAGCCAAATTATTGGATAAAAACGACACTCTACTCAATGTCGTGTTGGCTCTCGTGTCGAAGTTGACGAAATGGCTCAACTGCAGAACTGAACTGCTTAATCCAGAGGTCAGCATGGGCAGCAACACCTGCAGCAACAGTCCAGAAAGCGGAAACACTGTCTTGCCCCTTTACAATTAAGAAAGCGATTGCCGAGAAGAGGAAACTCCGACGCATATGGCAGAAAAACCTCAAAGATATGCTGTGATCAGAAACCAGAAATTCCGATGAAAAATCGTTTTTATGCCAGAGATGTTGGAAAATTGTGCATAAATAATAAAAATTATATACAAAAAAAAGAAATAAAAAGTAAGGTAATTGAAAACATGAAGATAACGGACGAAATCACGGTGATCTACTTGACTAGTTTGAATAAAGTTACGTTAACGAGGAAGATATTGAGAAAAACGAAATTGCTTGATTTTTTGTATTACGTCTCGCGTACAACTCGATTGGCACAGTGCAGAGGCACGCTGTTACCTTGTTGGGTACAATTAAAACCAAAGAGAAGAACATGGTGAATGAGTCGGAATCGGAAGAATCTGAATCGGAAGTGGAAAAGGAAAGAACCCAGTCCTGTAAAGGTACATATCTCTGTGGAAAACGTCGTGGAGCCTAGACCAAGTGGAAGTCGTGATAACTTTGATGAGCCGGTGATACAGGCGGAGAAGAGACCGTGAGTCTTATGATTCTAAAGCGAAGCAAGTTTTCTTTAACATTTTTTTTCTTTAAAGTTGTAAGTTACATATTTAATAATAATAAGCAAATTTATTGACCAAAAAAAAAAACGGATACAAAGAAACCGGAAAAAGGGAACCGAACCCGAAAAAAAAAATAAAATAAACAAAAAGTACACAATTCCTCTGGGCATGCATAATTAGCCCATGATGCCAAGACGGCGCATGGTGTTAATGCCACCGACGACACTACGTAAAGCTCCGCTTAAAGACATCCATGTTATGCATAGGAGTTGTTAAAAGGCCACGACTCAGCACATTCAGACCATGAACATAGCCGCGGAATCTAATTTTCTGCAGAAGGTACGGAGGACCTCCCAGCGAGAGTATCCCGAGGTAAAACCAGGCCTCATGCAGTCGTCTTCTACTACATGTTCAAAAATCCCTCACTAATCAATCTGGATAAGACGTGCGCCCGTCCATTCAAGCCATACACAAAACGCGCACAGGAGTTCTGAATCTGAGACTCACACAGAACATATCTCACCTCCAGGACATCACAATGCATATATAGTAGCCTCAGACTCGCGAACGATCTCTTAATCAACAGGGAAGTATACTTTTTGAATCTTAAGTAGGAAATCCAGATTCCTTAACTCACTCGAGAACCCGACCGTCCCACCGTTCATCACAATTTTCATTTCCATTTTAAAGCTTCTAAGATGTCTCTCAATTGTTACAAATATTTAGAAATCAGTTAAAAAGACACAACTTTCCTTCAAAATTTTAATCGAAATCAAGTTTTTAGAATGATCCTATACATGTATACATGTTTTACAAGTAAAAATGATCCAATTTTTTTTTTCATTTCAAAATTTTATTGAAATTTTTAGTATTTTAATGTGTGAACATTGGTAACATTGCACCAGCTAAAGTTTGAGAAACACTGTAATAAAGTATAAAATTTAAAAAAAAACGTAGTTTTTATGCAGAAAAGCACTTCTAACATTATGATATTATAAGAATTGTTAAACAAGAAACAAAAAAGGCAATAGCAAATATACGTTGTAGCAAGGAATGTAGAAGCAAGAATCTCTACTTTACCAATGATATCATAACAGTCTTTCTCGAGGCAGACCTGATATCTGTTAATGTCACAACAAAAACATCCGGCAATGGAAAGTGAAACAATTATTATTTCATTCAATGAAAGTATTTCCAAATAAAAAAATCGAAGAGCAGAGACACGTGCTTGTCAATATTTTTAATATTAGAAACAAAGTGACAAATAACCACTGAATAACTTCTTCGTAGTCCTGCAGGCCAAGGAAAACAAGACTATACTTCCATGCAGTCATAGTTGAAGCACCCAGAAAGAAAAGGTAAATCCCCCAATGTAAACGTTATAATCATACGCAAAAATACTGCCATAAAACACCTAGATGTGTCAATTGTCATCTAACACAAGAGTGCACAAAGAAACACACAAGACCAGCAAACTGTGCTCACTGCAATGGATGTGTTGTCTTGTCCCGGGATGGAATATCTCTGGACATTCATGGAAGATGCTTCAGTCTCTTAATCTAGCTTCCAGAGTGGTATTAGAATTAAGTTAAAATAACAAAAGTGTCGTCTTATATGTAAGAAGACGTATGTTTTAAGGGTAGGAACTAGTCGCCTTGTCCCGCTAAGATTTATAATCTGATAGACTTGTTTAATGTTTGTGGGAACTTCATATAAGATTGTACTTATTGATACACAGTACAGTACTATGTAATAATCATGTGGTTGGACATAACAGCGTTCAAATTACTCTTGCATTAACAGGTTTGCGAATTTGAAGTGTTTCTTTTCTTCCTCTTCCCTTGCTCCCAAGAACTACTACAAGGACGAGCTCTACAAGCCCTTCACTCCCAACTCCAAATAAGTATGCACCGTAATTAAATAGTGCACACCTGAAGAAAACACCCAAACCTTAAGTAAGAGAACGTTAATATTTGAGAAACGTAGTGAAAAGAACGACCGTGTCAATCGGTGTCTCGAACTGCTCTAGTCCGTTTGCTATGTCCTTTTTTTATTTTCGAAATAATTTGCATGAAATAAATTCACGAATATTTTACAGTTTCTTTTTCAATGCAAATATATTCAATGTACATTTATATTTACTTTTTCACCTATTTTTGTTTCTCGCTTCACATTTTTATGTTTATATATTTTATTTGTTTGTTCACTCTCTCGCAAAACTAGATATATTTCGCACTCACATTATTTCTGTTTTCGGTACATTTTTTGATGAAATAAAAAGTACCGAAAATTTTAAAATCACCAAATAAGCAACGTACCGATCTACATAAATCTATTTAATCAGTATTCGAAATTGTGCTTGAACTCTTTTCTCGTTCATTCTTTGACCAGATCCATTGGAATTTTCCATGAATATCTCGTAGCTTCAATAGAGATGTTCCTGAAATATCCTACGGATCTGATCTCCTTCAACAACTTGATGATACGCGATCAACACGTGTTGGACAGACAGTTTATAAGAATCATATCGTGTGTGTGTGTGCCATATTCCTCATTTTGTGATTTAAATTGGTCGAGATTAAACGCTTGAGCACTTTTGAGATTTGACCAAAGTGCTCTAGCGTTTAATTTCGAATAATATCTTATTCTATAATATATATCAGCTCAGAAAATGATATGTTGATATGATAGATTCAAGGAAGAAATGTAATTAGCTCACACAACCTGTTTCCTCAGTGTTATCCTGCTCTGTCCAAGAAAATATTACCTATTTCTTCCTATTACATCTACAGTTCTTCGTTCGACTTTTCCTGATGTTAATCAGATCCTTGCCTTTTTCTTCATCGTGTCATTAATTACTTAAATTAATACTTAAACTAATGTTTCAGACCACATTTAGTTTTTGTTATAATTTCAGCATTTTTTTTTTAAATCTTGAAAATATTACAAATATTAGGTAACGCCATCTATTCAAATTTTTTGTAACTATAATCTTTCAAATTTTTAATTTATGAAGATAATTGTTAAAATTCTATTAACAAAAAAAAACAAGTCAAAATAAAATGTTTCTCTCTCTCTCTCTCTCTTCATCCACCAGCCAATAGGCTACATCGATACAACTTCGAAAAAAACAGCTCCCACCCTTCGAGGAATCCCTTATAATACATGCGCAAAGTGCGTCGAAATAGAGAGATTCTGCATGAATTGATCTATTACTTCTCCTCTTTCTCGCATCAATCATTTCTTTCCTAACCTTGAACGAAGCCAGTTCGGGCCACATTTCACAAGTTTTTATTGTTTACATTACCAAATTATTCCATATGTAAGTATCGAAATTATTTTATTAGTCTCATCTATGTTCACAGTTCTAACATCTAATTAGGCGTACAAATTAATCAAATAATTTCTTTGTTTCAATTTTTAATCAAGTTTTGTATTTGTGTTCTTTTCATTTTGTTGTTGAAATAATGATTATTGAATTGTGGTATAGAAATTAACATTAGTTTAACATATTAACCAACATAAGTAATATGCATGATTTAAGGTATTCAGATCTACAATGCTTTGATGTTAATAATATTTTATTGAATTGTCCTAACACTTTTTCGTTTGCAGCAGAAATGATGGAAATGATTGTGAATGAAACTATGGAGGCGATTTCCAACAACAATAAGATTTTCATCAAACCTGTGGTGGTGATGTTGTGCGACGACGAGATGAACGATTCCTACGAGAGCAAGAAACAGTTTGTGACCTTAGCGTCCTCTTTTCTTGACCTGCTACTGTTCATCGTTTTTTGGTATTACAAAAACAAGATCAATCAAACCATGAAAGTGATGATGCATTTAATATTAGCCAATAACGCCACAATCTTCTTTTACGATTGCTTTAAGGAACATTTTGAAGATGTTTCCTTTTTCCTCAACATAGACATGTTTACCATAATCGATTTGTACATGTTGATCGTTCAGATAGCATGCTTCATGTTCATGCTGAGAACCCTCATTCAGATCATCAAAGAACTAATAAAGATCCAGACTATATCCGATGTAACGGTGCTGGAATTGTGCCAAGTACTAGTACTTATTTTTCTATATGTTAGAGGCTTAATGATCAAACATATGGATCTACTTTTAACTAGTGAAATAAATTATGTGAGAAACTAAATGTACAGACTTTTCTTTTTTGTCATATTTTTTTTACAATATTACTATAAATAAATTTACAATTTACTTTACACAAATTCTTAGAGTTGCTGCAAATTTGTTTTGATCCATATACATCCTTTTTTTCCAATAATTTTTATTGAAATGTAATTTTATAATATTAATATAGTAAAAATTTAGATAATTATTTGCAATTATGTGCTACATTTCTTGCAAAAATAAATAAATTAAAAAAAAACTTAATATAATTACAAAAATGTGCTTTAATATTCAAGTTAAATCCAAAGCGAAATAAACTGCTTAACTGTTTTCATTAGTTTACGGCAACAACAGAAACAGAATTATAATTTATTATTAAACAATTTGATTTATTAATATTTATTATAAATCTTATTCATCCGTTAAAAGGCTATCGACCATAGTTGTTCTGATTACAAAAAAAACTAAATATGTTAAAATACAATTTTTGAAGAGTCTCTCTTTCTTCATTCTTCAGCCAATTCGATATAACTTTGACAAACAGTTGCTAGCTTTTGAGAAATCCTTATAGCAGTGTTTCTCAAAATGCGGGTGATGGGATGTTTTTCTGCACATACCCATTTTTCGAAAAGCCTTTTAAACATTTTAAGTACAAAATGTAATGGCAGACCAAAAATTTTGAGAAATACTGCTTTATAGTACCTGCTACAAAGTACGTTGAAAAAGGGGATGATTGGGGGGATTCTGCGCGAACGATTCAAGCGAAAACCTCCCAATCTCTGTTTAAGCACATCTCACAACATTCAGTTGTAACCCTAACCTTGGTTAAAGCCAGTTCGGTCCATATTTTTATTTTTCTAAATAAGTAACTTATTCCATATGTAAGTATAAAGTTATTTTTATTATTCCGATTCAAATATTACACCATCTCAGAAAATTATTTCGTTCGATTCATTAATAACAATTTGGTACAAATAATTTATTTGTTGAAGAAAACAAATATTATGAATTTGTATTAAGACAGAATTATTTTTATAATTGTTTTGTTAACTTCTTTTTTTCAAGAAATAATTATCTAATCAATTATGGTATAGAAATGTACATTAGTTTAATATACTTAACTTAACACTCTTTTGCTTGTAGAAAAATGATATTCACAACGTTAGAAATATTGTTTATGCGGTACAGAAAGAATATTATGAAACGCCCGGAATACATACAAGCGACGATGAATTTCGACGAGCAAATGCTGGACAATTACTACAGGACTAAACTGAATCAGACCTTATACTCCTTTACATTCGACCTGACAATGTTGTCCATATACTTGATACAGCATAATTGTAAAAATCGTTCATTCGTCAACGTGCTACTCCATTTATTCTATGCCACTAACTGCTCCATGTCTCTTTACCATTGGTGCAAAAACTTTTATGTAATTTCCTTTTACTTCGATATTTTGGTAATAATCGAGTGGTACAGGTCCATCCTTATTTTGACTTCTATCGTCACCATGGTGAAAATCCTATATATGAACATGTACTTCATCGACTTAATACGTATCAATCCAATAACCGGTGTAAGGGAGACGGAGCTGTTGGAAGCAGCATTCATGGTTATAGCCCTCTCTAAAGGATTAATATGCAAAAATGTTGTTCAATTTGTACATACGTGGATTTAAGAAAAATAAAATATTTTCATGTAGTTCTTAGCAGTTTTATTTCATATTAGCAACAATTTGAATGTAGGCAATCTATGTCAAACTCCTTCATTTTTGACAAATGTCAATCAATCAATTGATGATGTTAGTAACTAAATTATCGAATTTATAACTAAGTTCCAGAAAAACGAAAGACATTCTTCCTTCTTTTACTTATATTACTTTCAATTAACAAGAACTAAAATTTCTCATTGCTATATCATCAAAGAACTTGTTCATTAAAGTGTTTCCCCCTAACTAAGTTAATAGACGTTTCCTAAAAATCTGGAATGAAATAATTACTAAGTAAATAATGAATGTTCTTTCTCATTTTACTGATTATGTTATTACCTACCCTACAAAATTAAAAAGGTTTTTCGTGAAATTTTCAGGATTTACAAATTGTTTCGTTGCAGGAATTTTGATGCAAAATCTCCTCATAGTCACCATTGTTTTAAATGCGTTTGCTATAGCGAACACTTTTTGAATGATCTATGTTTTTTGATTCTCGACGAGAACATTCATTTTACAATGGAAATTTTCAAGAAAGTTTTCTTTCTCTCTCTCTATCTTCATCTTTGGGCCAATGAGCCTCTTCGATACTTTGAAAACAATTGCCGCCGTTCGAGGAATACTAAAAGTACCTGATTTCATTCATCGTTCTCTCCTCACAATCGTTCGGTTGTTGCCTAAAGTCACCCAAAGCCAACTGTTTTCAAAACATTTACAAAATTATTCTTTTATTTAAATTTCTTTTCTGCTTTTATGTTAACTTTCTTATTTGATGAAAATTTATCATAAATTATATAGTAATATTTACTTTTCTTTATAGTAAACCTCAAAAATGAGAAAATTTTGTAAAAATATAAGATATGGAACCTCGCTTAACTTGTAAGAAAAATGACTCCAAAATGGAACGCATTATCGTTTAAAGCGGAATATACTTTGCAAATACAATTTGTGTACGCTTTTTTTATATAAAAAAAATATTAAAACTATAAAAAAAACCTCCACTAAGTCTCCGAATTGATACAAGTAATACAAAATATAAAATCACTTCACCGTGTGTGAATTGTAAAACACTAACTAACCCAACAAACATCACCTCCACCATTTTTAAACGGTTGGTAGTTTTGGAAGTTGTAACTCAAGTAACGACAGTATCTAAAATGAATTCAACTATATCAGACGACATTTTTGCACAGCTGGTAAATTTTATGAAGAATAATGGAATTAGACAGGAATACGTAACAAGATTTGAAAATAGAACTTTAGAAAGTTTGGATAAATATGACGTGTATCATGTAAGTTTATTTGTAAAGTTTTGAAGAGTTAGTTCTATTCGAGTACTGAGATTTTTTGATTGTAAAATGAAAGATTTCGATGATTGCAAGAATCAGATCAACAATGTAATTAATTTCAAAACTCGTGGTATGGATGAACTGCTAAAAAGATTCATTCGTGACCGCTTCTGCTTCGAAACGCAACAGTACACAGAAGAAGTTAGCAACACACTACGCTTGCTACTAACCAATGTTATATCATTGGAAGAAAACTTGAAAGAGATCATAACGAACTTAAAGAATTAAATACAAGAAATAGAAGTTAGATACTTTCATAGTTTTACAGAAGAAAATAGCAACGCACTACACTTGTTACTAACCAATGTTTTATCATTGGAAGAAAACTTGAAAGAGATCATAACGAACTTAGAGAATGAAATACAAGAAATAGAAGTTCATATTTTCACAGAAGAAGATAGCAACACACTACGCTTGTTACTAACCAATGTTATATCGTTGGAAGAAAACTTGAAAGAGATCATAACGAACTTAGAGAATTAAATACAAGAAATAGAAGTTCATATTTTCGTATGAAACTAAACGAACTATCCGCTATTTCGGAGATTTGTCAATTTTATGAATTTGAAACCGTTAGAGAAGTTCATTATAATATTAACCAAAATTAGAGATGAATTTCTCAGCAAGGTGAAACGCACTCAACGCGTTATAAGATGTAAAGGAAACTTGGTCGTGAAAGTTTGCTGTCATTGGTATACCGAATTTGCCGTGGACTATTCAAATCTTCTTCATGCAAACTAAGGACGGTTACAAACAACGTCATCAACATGGTACGACGAGCAAAAACATTGAGTTGATGCACTTATAAAAGTGGTGATCTATACAATAAGTTCACGATAGGATTAAATAAAATCAATATATTTCATAGACATTTGAAAATGTATAATATGGAATTAGTGAAGCAATTAAAATGTCATCAATTTTTATATACATGTTATTGAATAAATGCATTAAATATAATCTATAGTTTTTTTTTACAAAGACTTGTTCCTCCTAGGAAAACCTAAATTTCCATTTCCCTAAAAAGTGAAATAGAAAATTTGTCATATTTTCAAGTAGATTTGAAATTAAAACTTTCAAAAGTTTGACTAATTATGAAGCGTATCAAGTAAGTTTATTTGTAAATATATTTTGGAATTCATTACTTATTATTCCGTGAAAAATGCTATGAAATTTTTAAAAATTTTGTTCTATTCGAGTTGAGATTTTTGAATTGTAAAATGAAACATCTCGATGATTGCAAGAAGTGCGTGAAACGCGGGGAAATTTCCAACGCCATCGACAACTACGTGAACGGATCTCAGGGTGCGTTGCAACAATTTCAAATAAAAAAAAACTTCACCTACTCTTGTTTCCATGGTGATTTATAACGTAAACACTTAATTAATACTTCTATGAATTTCAGATAGGCAAAGACATGGAGCTCGTATCCATGTGGATGGCAATGTACGACGAAGTACCGACGGAGCTCACCGAAGAGGAGAAACGTGAATGGATCGGCAAATTGTGTCTCTGGCTTCCGACGCCTTCTTCCCATTCAGAGACAACATCGACAGGGCTCGATTGGTGAGTTAACACTTCCGAAACAAATTTAAAAAAAAAACAACAACAAACTTATTCCATATGTTTGCAGAGTGGAGTTTCGTACATCGGAAGCCCACAAGGCTCAAACAACGATCGTCATCGCTCACACCACGCTAAGGCTGTTCCATCATTAACATCAATCCAATAACTGGTGAAAGGGAGACGGAACTATTCGAATCAGGATTCATTGCAGTAGCCTTTGCTAAAGGATTAGTATGCAATGATATTGTTCGATTTGTACATATGTGGATTTAAGTTTCAGAAAAACGAAAGACGTTCTTTCTTCTTTTACGAATATCACAAACATTTGACAAATGTCAAATGTGCCATCCATTGAGGTTGTTTGTAACTAAATTATCGCTTTTTATATAGATGCTTACGCTTTACGTTACATCGAATTTATAATTAAGTTTCAGAAACGAAAAATTTGTAAAGGTACAAATTAAAGATATTGACAAAAAAAATAAGGTCAAATTTTGATACAAAAAAAAATCCCTCAATGATTAGTGGATTAAATAAAATTCAAATCTGTGTTAAAATATTGATTATTATTATACCATAACTGCTTTATAAACATCGAAATAATGAAAGAAATTTGATTATTTTTTTGTTTAAATTTTATGTCCATTTTTTTTTTTGGAATTATTTAAGCCCATTTTCCATTAGTCAAATGCACACACAATTCGCTTTAACCGAATACTTCGAAATTTGTGTTCATCAATTATTTAAACCCTTTTTTTTGCATTCGATACAGATTTTATTTTTTCATACTGTTGCGTTTTTTGCTTTAAATTTTTTTATATATTTTTTTTTGTGTTTCACACCCTCGCAAAACAGAATAATTCGCACTCGCGTTGTTTTCTAGTTCATATATTTTTTGTTGTTGTTAATTCATCAGAAATGAATGAACTGTCGCATGGTTTCACGTAAATCCCAGTTGATATGCCGGAATTTTCGGAATACTACTTTATTACTAAAAAATCCAAATATGAAACACAAACAAAACAACGATTTCAATCAAGTTTTTCTGATGCTGCTATTTATTAACTGTTTGTAATTGAATTTCATGCTTTTTTTAGGACAAAAATGATCATATTACAGGTGAAATTGTAAAAAATATTCATATATAATTATTGCAAACTGTTGTGTTTTTTTTATATATAATGCAACTATGTAATGAAATATGAGTAATTATAAATGGAAATGTGCTGAGTAACTTGTTTTAATAAGTACAAATTAATATTTTTTTTATAAACTAGAAAAATTGTAATTATTATTATTTGATTTCACTAATAACTATCTTTTTTTACTAAATAATTATTAGAAAAATAAAGATAGTTAAAAAAATTTTGTGATAAATTTTTTATCTCAAAAAAAAAATAGATATTGTCGTGTCCCAGAGATGGATTTCTGAACACATTGTAACGTGGTAAAATCGAAAACAGCATGCCTATCTCCGTTAATAACGGAAACGGTGTATTTATCATTATAACTGGCTCTAGACAGACCACCCGAGAAAACGATCAACGAATTCTCGTTCAATTCATATCGTAGAATCTTTAGTACAGCTTTACAGGGAGAAGGACAG